CTCACCTCCTTTCCCCTGCTCACAACACTGCCTTCCCCCTCTACCCTCGCCTCTTTCTCCACTCCTGTCGTAATCTCCCTTCCCCCTCTCACTGCACCTCCCTTCCCCCTCTCACAGCACCACCTCTCCCACCCTCACAATACCCGACTTCCCCCTCTCCCCTACCCTTCCCTCCCCCCTTGGCCTGCACCTCCCCTTCCCTGCATGACGTGGCTTCCCTTACCCCCCTGACGTGGCTTACCTTCCCCACCTAACGTGGCTTCCTTTCCCTGCCTGACGTGGCTTCCCTTCCCCTCCTGACGTGGCTTCCCCTCCCCGCCCGACGTGGCTTCCCTTCCCCGCCTCACGTGACTTCCCTGCCCCGCCTCACGTGGCTTCCCTTCCCCGCCTCACGTGGCTTCCCTTCCCCGCGTCACGTAACTTCCCTTCCCCGCCTCACGTGACTTCCCTTCCCCGCCTCACGTGCCTTCCCTTCCCCGCCTCACGTGCCTTCCCTTCCCCGCCTCACGTGCCTTCCCTTCCCCGCCTCACGTGGCTTCCCTTCCCCGCCTCACGTGGCTTCCCTTCCCCGCCTCACGTGACTTACCTTCCCGCCTCACGTGACTTCCCTTTCCCGCCTCACATGACGTGGCGGTGATGTGCAGAGCTGGTCGCATTCCTTTCCGCGTTCATTAGTCACGCGTCGCATATGTGCTTATGACAGCGCTGTCGCGCCGGCTTTCTGCACGCACTGTGTGGTGATGCTTCGTGCAGAGGTTCCGTTTTGCGGGTGTTGATAATGGCGCACTGCTGGCGCAACCCTAGACTTGCCTCCAATCTAGGTATGCGGTGGTAAACCTCGAATTGCCACAGCATTATTGCTGGACTTTTACAACAGATTATGCACTTTCCTCCGTCATCACTCCGGTATATCTCATGCCATGTATTAAACTATTTTGCAATCGCCTACCTCGACACTGTCCATGTCGTCCGCCAAATTTCCGTCCATCATGCCGAATAGGACCCAGTACTAGGAACGGCGTTTTTTCGACGGCGCGGCAATTGTCGCTTCTGCAGGAAGCGTGGCGTCCGACCCCATATGTTCATACCACTGGGAGCGTGGTGCGCGTGGTGCGCGATGTGTGCGTGTGTGAGTCGTACGTTGCCTGCTAGCCTGCTGCCCTCACACGTTTTGCGTGTATGCCTGCCTGTCTTTGGAAAAAGTCACATGTACAAACGTGCTTGTTTTGTAGATGGTCGAGTGTGCGTGGTGTGGTTAGGGTTGCGATTGTTGTGGGCTGGCGCCAAACCCAAGCGACCTGTTTGTTTGTCGCCCTGTGTGTTTTTTTGTTTCAACCCAACCCTTCCAACCCACGAATATGAAACGCGGTAACCTGGCCCTTCGAGTGTTTTACAGTTGATCTCAGTCTCGGTACATATGACCCTGTCTTTAACTATTCTTGTGACCATTTGTTTCTCTTGCTTGTTTTGATGCCCCTCATTTAGCCTATGGAGTAACATTGTAAGGAGTACAACTTATTGCTAGGGTTGGTATTTGTACTGCTCACACATCTAATGCTTTGTTTCTGCTTCGTATCTCTTGAGAATCTCTGCCATAGCTGGTGTCCTCGCTTTTCATGAAGACCAAATGGTGCCTCACCTATGGAAGAGTATAAGGGCGCTTAACCATTTTGACCCAGCCGGTGTTACAATCTGAAAGAGGACGTTTATAGGATCGTCTCAGGTTGATCGCACGTAGTGTAGCAGCGGAAGATTGCTCGTGAAGTCGGGTACGGGCCCTGTGAGAAGACGGAGATTTGAATATTGATAGAAGTGATTATAGCAGGCGGTACTGTATTACCCCGGATATAAGCGGCTACGCCGAGCGGCTGGAGCAACTGACCCACGGGCGACTGGCGACTACCGGAGATTGTAGCCTCCGGACTACTGGCGCTGCGGACGACAAGACGGCTGCCTCCACTCAACCTCCCTCAGCTGTCCCACACCCCTTTCACACACCCCCTGTTGTTCCCCTAGCACTGCTCACACGCCACCCCCCCAGTACCACTCCGACGGCTCCCACACATCCACCCCCCTCAGCGGCAGCTGCAGCAGTGGGAGACGGAGGAGGAGGAGGAGCAGGGGACGGCGCACACACCCCCAGACTCGCCACCCCCAAAACCTAACACATGCAGCACGGGGCAGGAGCGCGGGTAGCGGGCGAGCGGAAGCGGGGCGGCGCGCTGGTCCCTGGGGCGCCTCGACGGGCGACGGGAGGGGGCGACGCGCGGGCCCCCGGGGCGCCTCGACGGGCGACGGGAGGGGGGGGCGACGCGCGGGCCCCCGGGGCGCCTCGACGGGTGACGGGAGGGGGCGACGCGCGGGCCCCCGGGGCGCCACGACGGACGACGGGAGGGGGCGACGCGCGGGCCCCCGGGGCGCCTCAACGGGCGACGGGAGGGGGGCGACGCGCGGGCCCCCGGGGCGCCACGACGGGCGACGGGAGGGGGCGACGCGCGGGCCCCCGGGGCGCCACGACGGGCGACGGGAGGGGGGCGACGCGCGGGCCCCCAGGGCGTCGCAGCGGGCGACGAGATGGCGGGGGGGGGGGGGGGGCGCGCTGGTCCCCCAGGGCGCCGCGACGGGCGACGGGATGGCGGAGGGGCGCGCGCGGGTCCCTCAGGGCGCCGCGTCGGTTAGGGCACCGTCGCACGCCTCGGGGCGCGCGACGGGCAGGGCACCGTCGCGCGCCACGGGGCGCGCGACGGGCAGGGCAAGGCGTCGCGCGGCCAGCAGGGCGGCGCGACGGGCAGGGAAGAGCCGCGACGGGAAGAACAAAACGCCGCACGCCACGAGCGCGCGGCAGGCAGAAAACGTCGCGCGCCCGGGGCACGCGACAGGCAGTACAGCAGCGGAAGCTTTAGGTGGGCCCATCCATAGGATCGACCAGGGAGGGTCGACCTGCTCTGATAGCATGTCAGATACTAAGCAGAAAGATAGAACACGAAAGAGGGTTTGCACTAGCAAGCAGTTGAGTACATATAGGAAACCCTAAATTGGGTTGTACTCGCTATAGAGTACCCCACTGCAGGCTAGACAAATACAACATTCTGACAATAAGCGCACCTGCGCTTATAATAAAACAGTGTTTTTTAGGGGGGTGCGCTTATAATTGAGTCAAATTTATAAGTGCATGTGCTTATATAATGGCAAATACATAATTATGATTTAAAAGCACCAAATTGTGCATCTCATTATAGTATTTCATTTTCAATCAAATCGAAATGGGCGTCAGAATCGCGCGAGGGCGATTCTCTGTCGGCGCACAGGCCCGGCCCAGTGTATACACTTGCCCCGGCCCAGTGTATCAGCCAATCACATGCAGTCGCTCGCTCGTAGTGCACAGCCCCCACGGCTGTGCTGTCAGTCAGCTTCGCCCCGGGCCAGCATACGAGCCACTCGCGTGCAGTCGCTCGCTCGCAGCGCTCAGGCACGGTCCCTTTTCCCACCCCCCCCCCTCGCCCCGAAAGGGCTGTCAGTCATCATCTTCGCGTGGTTCCGCCTTTCCTGATCGAATCGCCCGCCCTCAAGAGAGTCAAACAAAGTACGGAAGAAATGGATGTGGGTGTCGCTGCAAAAACGGGGAATCGTTACCGTTATAATCAGGATTTAAAATAAAACATGTACATGCGCTTATAATAAATCAAGGATTTACCGGGGGTGCGCTTATAAATGAGGATCGGCCATAAGCGCATTGCTCCAGATATAAGCGCATGCGCTTTTAATAGGCATGCGCTTATATCCGGGGTCATACGGTGCAAAGGTTTATAGAGGGATGCAGCAAGAATACGAAGGGTCCTAGCTAGCCATGTACTCTGAGAGGGTACATTCCCCTTAGGGCTAATCTAGATGCAGGATTGCAACCGTGCGGTTCGGAAACCGTACGCGGTTCGGTATCAGGGCCCATTTTATCAGTGTAAATCACCCTGATGCCCTGACTACAAGGGTGATTTTTGGTAGTAACACTGATGCTGTTGGGTAATTTTTTCGGGACCTTGATGTACCCTGTTGTGCCAGGTTTCACGATTAAGGAACACTGTCGCCTCAGGGTTGCCGTTCCGCTTATCGAGGTTTACCCTGAAGCGCGTACCAGCCAACCCCCGCGCCCCCCCCCACCCTTCCCCTAACCACCCGACCTCGAAACCTGGATTTTCCCTTTGCCAACTGTCGGAAATGTAGATTTCGGCAGGACTTAACGTGTGCTGGAACGAGGTGGGCCACCAGACGGCCGGCGAAAACCGTGGCCCTGCTGACCCCAGCGGAACGAAAGGGCAAGGAGAAAGTGCCGGAGCCAGAGGAGGACAGTGACCACGAGCAACAACCGTGTGGCATGTCTGATGATGATGATTAAGCTTGTTATTGTGTGCTGTGTTAATAACAACTGAAGCAGGGTTTTGCGAATTGGTACACTGATGCCTCAGGGTTGTCTTTTTAATACATGAAAAAAACCTGACGCATCAGGTTTTCCACAACGGCTAACCCTGAAAATCAGGTTTTTGAACAGGTGCTAGACTGATCGTAAGGGTTGGTCAAAACCAAAAATGAGCCCTGTTCGGTATCCGTTCAAAGCTTTTCCCGCGGATTGCACTTCGAATTCTTCGTGCTTTGGAACTGCCTTCAATAACTGTCTTCACTGCAGACATCGCCACTCAACCTTAAAGTAGTAACAGATTCCGTTGCCGGGACTTGAACCCGGGTCTCTCGGGTGAGAGCCGAGTATGTGCTACAGACATGAACATCAAATTTTGGAACTCGAGCTCACAGCAAGGGGACTAACTAAACACCTTCACACCTACTGAGCACATCTCAAGTCCCGCAAGTAACCAAGTATACGCAGCAATACATGACAAAAAAAGGGTCAACTCAGTGACTACAACATTGACCACATTCATGGACCACTACCACTGTTGTGGTTACCACTCAGGGGAATGACTCATCACCCCATCATATACCCCTATCGGTTACCACTCAAGAGGCCTGAAAGTGACGGCACCTGCTGCTGCTGCATCTGCTCTTGCATCTGCTTCATCTCCTCTGGGTCTGAAAGGGAGAGAGAGACAAGTTAGAAGGAAGAAATAAGGGTGGGAAGGATGACGATGATGATGAGAGATGAGCTTAAGGGGTGGTATGAATTATTATGCACGAATTTGGTATGCTAGAGCCGAGTACGAATCATATCAGCCCACTTATGGAGTCAGCAAGGCGGGGGGGGGTGACCATGACGACGAGAGAGGAGCTAGAGGTGTGGTAAGAATGAGTAGATTGAGGATGGTAGGACGAGGATTTCAATATGGAGTCAGCGAGGCAGAGCAGGATGACCATGAGGATGAGAGATTACCTTTAACGCATGACCCATCCACGCAATAGCCCACTCATTTGTGCATCACCCACTCAGTCACTCACCTATGGAGTCAGCGAGGCGGGGCAGGACGACCATAACGACGAGCGATGAGCTTAAGGTGTGGTACGAATGGGTATGCCAGAGGTGAGCATGCTAGAAACGCGTACGCCAGTGCCAGAGAGGAACCCACCTATGGAGTCGGCGAGGTAGGGCAGGACGACCATAACGACGAGAGATTACCTCTAAGGTTATGTTCCACCCACCCATCCGATAGCATTTTACACCTTGTGTATGACCCAGCCACCTATGGGTATGCGAGAAACGCGTATGCCAGTGCCAGAGAGTAACCCACCTATGGAGTCGGCAAGGCGAGGCAGGACGACCATGACGACAAGCATGAAGCATATCATGATGCCCATGGGGCTCTTCACTATCGTCCATATGCTGAACGGCTGGCGCCTCTGAGAGCATGGTGGTAAGGCAGGCGGGAAGCATGGTGGCAAGGGGTACAGGAAAGGCAGGGGGTGAGTGAAGCACGAAGCATATCATGATGCCCATGGGGCTCTTCACTATCGTCCATATGCTGAACGGCTCGCGCCTCTGCATGTGGGGGCAAGTGGGGAATGAGGTTAGCAGCATGAATGCACGCATGAGGGTTGATGAATGGCGTGAGATGATCATGATGCCCATGGGGGCTCCGCACCCCCGTCCATATGCTGAATGGCCCACGCCTCTGCAGGAGGGGGTGAATGGACAGGCATGAAGGGCCCTGCTTGCTCACAGCTTGCTGTCGTCGCCGCGGCACGCCATGCCTCAAATGCTTGCCTGGCTGTCTCGCCATTATTGTGCCAGACAATATTCAAGTTCCAACCAGCATCACCTCAAAAGCTTCCTGAGCTGCGAAGGGCGAGATGATGAGGGGATTAATGGAAAGACCTGCAGGGCCCTGCTTTCAGCCCACCACCTGTGCCTTGAATGCGGGGACAGGCTAGGAGGCCCCTGGTTACTATTTACGAGAACCACAATCGCCCTCTTCACCACTACCTTTCATCCTCACCTCGAAATACTCCTCAGCTGCGAAGGGCGAGATGATGAGTGGATCGATGGAGAGGCTTGCAGGGCCCTGCTCTCGGATCACCATTGCGCGGAAGTTTCCTGCATGCTTCGCACTGACTTGCAGCGTGACCTGCCCAGGAAGAGACAATGGCAAGGGAACGCCACGACAGGTGAGCCCTTGTGTCACGACAGGTGAGCCCTTGTGTCACGACAGGTGAGCCCTTGTGTCACGACAGGTGAGCCCTTGTGTCACGACAGGTGAGCCCTTGTCTCACGACAGGTGAGCCCTTGTCTCACGACAGGTGAGCCCTTGTGTCACGACAGGTGAGCCCTTGTGTCACGACAGGTGAGCCCTTGTGTCACGACAGGTGAGCCCTTGTGTCACGACAGGTGAGCCCTTGTGTCACGACAGGACGACCCGGGACCTGGTTGCGTGCAGGAGGACAGTGGATGAGGTTGGGCTTACCAGCAGGAAATACGCCCTTGGAGCGTGTGCGAGCCAGCAGGTAGGGTGGTGGGGATGGATGGATGGATGGTTTGGGCTTACCGGCAGGAAGAACCCCCTGGGAGCAGAGACTTTCAGCGTGTGCGTGGCGGGAGAGAGAGCACTGGGGATGGATGGAATGGGGTGGAGGACAGGACAGGACGAACGAAACAGGACCTGGTTGCATGCAACGCATGATTTTGGCTTACCGGCAGGAAGAACGCCCCTGGAGCAGAGAATTGCAGCGTGTGCGAGCCGGGAGAGAGAGCGCTGAGGAATGAGGTGTGGGGAGGGAGGGAGAGATGGAAGGAGGGAGGGAGGGAGGGAGGGAGGGAGGGAGGGAGGGAGGGAGGGAGGGAGGGAGGGAGGGAGGGAGGGAGGGAGGGAGGGAGAGAGGGAAGGAGGGAGGGAGGGAGGGAGGGAGGGAGGGAGGGAGGGAGGGAGGGAGGGGAGGGAGGGAGGGAGGGAGGGGAGGGAGGGAGGGGAGGGAGGGAGGGAGGGAGGGAGGGAGGGAGGGGGCGGTTAAGGGTAATGCAGTGAGGGAAACACGTGCGTGGGAAACACGGTCAAGGACATTATGATAAGGCACCTGCGCTGTGTGCGTGCCCGAAGGCAGAGCGCTGGGGAGGGGCGTGTGGGAAAAGAATGGGGGAGGGAGGGGAGGGGGGGAGGGAGAGGAGAGAAGCATACATAGAGAAACTCGGTTGTGAAAAAACTCAGATAAATTTGACAGGCCACTTGCAGTGTGTGCATGGAAGGAGGCAAGGAGGTGAGGAAAGGCGTGTGAGGAGGAAGGGAGGGAAGGCGAGAGGACAGAGACGGAGGGTAACTGGCGTTTGAGTAAGTTTATAGACAGTGCGGTGGGTAACGGAGGGCTGGAGGGGGGTGGGGGGAAAATACGGGGACTACAGGGTAGGGGAGGAAGCAAGTGAGATGACTCAAAAGGGATTGAGCCAGAAGGGAAGTCGACTCAAGGGGAACAGCCACTTGCAGCGCGTGAGTGCGCGGAGGCAGGGTGGCGGTGGGGAATGGTGGGTTGGGAGGGACGGAGGCAGATAACGAGGATTACAGGGGAAGGGAGGGGGGGAAGCAAGTGAGTGAGACGAGTCAAAGGGAATGCAGGGAGCAGTCACTTGCATCGTGTGAGTGCGAAGAAACAGGGCGGCGGCGGGGAATGGTGTGTTGGGAGGGGGGCATATGGGGGCGGCAGTTTTTCAGTGAACTCCAAACAAGCGCCAGGGGGACTTTCAAGGCAGGCATTATGGGATGGGATGTGTGAGTGAGTGGTGGCTTGGAGGCACGGCGCGTGGAACGAAGGCGCTTGGGGGCACGTCACGTCACACGTCACCTCGCAGGCGTTATTACGGAATGTGTGCGTGGCTTGGAGGCACGGCGCTCGGAGGCACCTCACCTCACATTCACCTAGCAGGCGTTATTATGGAATGTGTGTGTGCGGGGCTTGGAGGCATAACGCTAGGTGGCACGTGAGGAGGGCGGCACTATAGGAGGGAGGCATGACATAAGAGAGAAGGGGGGGGGTATAGAGGGGCGGAATCGGAGGATGGCGAAGGAAGGGAGGAGGAAAAAGGGGAAGATTCAGATTTTCTCGGTTCATTCTCGTAGGGTCATGGGCTGGGAGGGCTAGGAGGGATAGGCGGGCTAGGAGGGATGGGAGGGCTAGGAGGGATGGGGGGGCTAGGAGGGATGGGGGTGCTGGTAGGATGGCGGGGAGGGCGGGCAGTGGGGAGGGCGGGGACTTGTCTGGGGAACAGAGAGGGAGAGGCGAATGATGGGGGCCTTACATGGAGAAGTAGCCGTTGGATCGCACAAACGCCACTGAATCTCCGCCGTTGATCAGGATCTTCACAGCCGTCGATTTGATCTTCAGAGCTGATAGGAAGGATGAGATAAACACAATTTGCGCGCGAAACGAAGAAGGAAACGAGAAACAGAGTAGAACTCTCAACGGCTATTAGGTTGGTGGCTGCCCTAATACTCTTCCGCATCATGCTAATAAGGGGGACACTGAAGTAAAATATTGTCCTACCGTCCAGTCGCACGCAGCCATCCACCATGGAGGAACCCTTAACGGCTACTCGGACGTGATCACCATGATACTGTATCGCATCATGCTAATAAAAGGGACACGATGAAACAGAAATGGAGTGTCCTACCGTCGAGTCGCACGTAGCCGTCCACAACGGCACCGCCGTTCACGGCCACGGCGCTCGCCGCTTGCGCCGATCCCGCTGCCGCCGCGATCAGACACGCGATCAGCAGCGAAGCCGCTACAGCTGACATCGCGGAACGACACGCGAGACGGAGAAGCGCCATTTCTCGGGGAGAAAGGTAGAGTCGAATAGTCGATCTAAACTAGGATGATTGGGGGGAACTGACGATTCCACCGTGAGCGCTGACTGAATTCATTCGTCGTGAGTGCATAAGATAATAATCAGTAATCTGGCATCCGCGTCTGAAAAGCTTGAGGATGTATTTACACTGTGAGCTTCAGTACCCGATTCTGTGGTTTGATCGGGGTAGAGGGGCAGATCAATTTCGAATTCATGAAACTACCGGTGGGTTCGAATTATACGAAAGAAAGGATCAAGAAATGAGTGCGCGAGGAGTTGAGTCACGAAATAGACGAACAACAAAGCTGTTCGACATTCGGCAAGCAAGAAGTTCGTCGCAATGACGTCTGTCACCAACACCCAGTTCAAGCTCGGTAACCACATTGCGGTGCGGAAACAAAAAAAAACCAAAACACCACCTCAACCAGCTCAAGCATATTCGGGTCGCGCTAGTAATAGCGAAGCAGAGATCGTCCAAACACCTACTAAAATTTGCATCGCGATCTCAACCGTGCGATTTCTCAGAAGATAGGAGTCATTAGGCTAAAGTATGATAGATAAACGGAGCTCAATTTTTTCGTAGCCGCAAAGGATTTGTGTTGATTAGCTTGGCTGCTAGCGTCACGCTACGGTAGCGTCGTGTAACCACACCAGGCCTCCTCCTCCAACGCCGTTGAAGTTTGGAACGGCGCTCCAGCGTCGATTTCCTTCCTAAAGGCCCCTCGGCCTGGTATCCCTTCGCTTACAGAACACCCTCGCACGTAGCAGCCGCACGGCCATCCACACAGTTCAGAGCGAGACAGGAAAGAGGAGAAAACGGGGAGTGCGGAAAAGGTAAGAGTGGAATGAGGTGGGTGAGGGGAGGCAGGAGAAAGAGGAGGAAGAAGAGGAGGAGGGAAAGGGGAGGGAGAGTAAGAAGGAGGTGAGGTAGGTGGGTAGTGTATGACTCATCAGTGTCGTCTTTCTTCACTCATACACCCTTCCGTTCTTGCCATTCTCATTCCTACCATCCATCACTCCCTCCCCCCGTCCGTCCGTCCGTCCGTCCGTCCGTCCGTCCGTCCGTCCGTCCGTCCGTCCGTCCGTCCGTCCGTCCGTCCGTCCCTCCCTCCCTCCCTCCCTCCCTCCCTCCCTCCCTCCCTCCCTCCTCCCTCCCTCCCTCCCTCCCTCCCTCCCTCCCTCCCTCCCTCCCTCCCTCCCTCCTCCCTCCCTCCCTCCCTCCCTCCCTCCCTCCCTCCCTCCCTCCCTCCCTCCCTCCCTCCCTCCCTCCCTCCCTCCCTCCCTCCCTCCCTCCCTCCCTCCCTCCCTCCCTCCCTCCCTCCCTCCCTCCCTCCCTCCCTCCCTCCCTCCCTCCCTCCCTCCCTCCCTCCCTCCCTCCCTCCCTCCCTCCCTCCCTCCCTCCCTCCCTCCCTCCCTCCCTCCCTCCCTCCCTCCCTCCCTCCCTCCCTCCCTCCCTCCCTCCCTCCCTCCCTCCCTCCCTCCCTCCCTCCCTCCCTCCCTCCCTCCCTCCCTCCCTCCTCCCTCCCTCCCTCCCTCCCTCCTCCCTCCCTCCCTCCCTCCCTCCCTCCCTCCCTCCCTCCCTCCCTCCCTCCCTCCCTCCCTCCCTCCCTCCCTCCCTCCCTCCCTCCCTCCCTCCCTCCCTCCCTCCCTCCCTCCCTCCCTCCCTCCCTCCCTCCCTCCCTCCCTCCCTCCCTCCCTCCCTCCCTCCCTCCCTCCCTCCCTCCCTCCCTCCCTCCCTCCCTCCCTCCTCCCTCCCTCCCTCCCTCCCTCCCTCCCTCCCTCCCTCCCTCCCTCCCTCCCTCCCTCCCTCCCTCCCTCCCTCCCTCCCTCCCTCCCTCCCTCCCTCCCTCCCTCCCTCCCTCCCTCCCTCCCTCCCTCCCTCCCTCCCTCCCTCCCTCCCTCCTCCCTCCCTCCCTCCCTCCCTCCCTCCCTCCCTCCTCCCTCCCTCCCTCCCTCCCTCCCTCCCTCCCTCCCTCCCTCCCTCCCTCCCTCCCTCCCTCCCTCCCTCCCTCCCTCCTCCCTCCCTCCTCCCTCCCTCCCTCCCTCCCTCCCTCCCTCCCTCCCTCCCTCCCTCCCTCCCTCCCTCCCTCCCTCCCTCCCTCCCTCCCTCCCTCCCTCCCTCCCTCCCTCCTCCCTCCCTCCCTCCCTCCCTCCCTCCCTCCCTCCCTCCCTCCTCCTCCCTCCCTCCCTCCCTCCCTCCATCCATCCATCCATCCTCTTCACTCATTTCGATCCCAGCAGTGCGCAAACAGCAATCTGAGAGCCACGCAACACCGCACTGAACGCACCCTACAC